AATACACTTACTTCAGATTCTGTTAGGAAAAAGTGAGATAATATTACATTATATAAAATGTAATACATAATGATTTGTTGTTTTCTATTTAAGTGATCGAATAGATTCATGTTCATCGATTTCATTATCAAGTAAAACAAATAAACAACCGAAAATGATAAACTCAATCACTACAACAAAACCAAATATTCCACCATTTTAACCAATATCAAAAGAATAATCTTCTGCTACTGCAGCGAAATATTCAACAGTTGATAAAATCAATAGTAGTCTTGGAGAATCACTTGATGAATTAATTCAATTGAGTAATCGAATGAATAATATTATTGATAATGAACATAATCGATAAAGAGAAATGAAGAATCTATTGAGATTTAATGATGTATTGATATTTTAGAAGAATGTTAACATACTCGGTTTCTTTAAAACCACCATCGACTTCATTATATCATCACATGAAGATGTAGAACAAATAACAATGGATATTGAATCTTATCGACAAGTAATGAAAGATGTTATGATTATGAAAACAATTCTTCATCAACTTGATCGATTATTAAAACATTCAAATGGAATTAATATGACAGTAAGTATTTTTAAAAAAAGAACTCATAGTTTTTTATTTTATTATGATAGAATTCAATGATTAGTTTATTTCATGAATCTATGATTAGTTCAAGACATTATTCATCAAGTATCAATGATGCTAACTTGCGATATTCAATCGATAAAAATCTTTCTTATAATGATTTAGTTAAAGTAAGAAAAATTAGTTTTGAATTTTTTTCAAAGAAAATATTTTATTTTATTCAAGAAAATAATAATATTACGCAAAAAGAAAGAGAATAAGATAAATAAACAATTAAATTATTACAAGAACAAATAGTCGACATTTTCTTTGTTAAAATTTTTATTTATTTTCTTCTTTTTTAGTATAAATATTCCAGTCAAACACCATCAACATTCCAATTTTAATATTTGTTGTCAATATTTTTATTTTTTAATTTCAAAGAATAAAAAAAAAAAAAAAAAAGAGTCTTTTTGTGTCTTATTTAATTGTTCTATCTTCAAATATCGATTATCGAAAAATCTACTTTTTGTGAAAAACGAATAATCATTTCTACGACACTGTGCACAAACAATTTTTTCGAACGGACATATACAGTTTAAAGAAGTCAGGCTTCTTTGTCGATGTATTCAAAAAAAAAAAAAAAAAAAAAAAGTTACGTTTCAATCGAAGTCGAAACGGAATTGAAATGAAGACATGAAGAAATTTATTAGAACAAGAACTGTGTATCAACATGACTTACTCATTATCTGTTATTAGCTGCTAACGATTGATTTATAATACATGGCCATACTTTATATTTTATATTTGAATTACTAAATAGGTTTTATTAAAAGAACAAAATATATCATAAAATGCAACATGAAAGGCTCTACAATCTGTGAAAATTATTCCATATAGTAAAATATAAGAATAAGTGTAGCATAAGTTTGATTATACATACAAACTGAAATTTTCGACCATTATGAGTATGGTCATTATCATCAACACGACATCATTTCTCATTCAAAATCAAGTCTACTTTTATTCATTATTAAGATACATATTCTACATCTGAGTCATGCTGTTGATGTTTCGTCTATTTTTTATGATTATATTGTTGGTGAATATTGAATTTAGTTATTGTTTGTATATAGCAACACAATTTATGTTTATCTAGTTTATAATTTCTTATTATTGTTTGAAAAGAATAAAATAGACTTTTCGTCACAAATGATGTTGTGCTGCTACTACTGATGACTATACTCATAATGATTGAAAATTTCAATTTACATGTTAAATCAAACTTATATTTTACTATATGGAATAATTTTCACAGTTTGTAGAGTCTTTCATGCTGTATTTTGTGATATATTTTGTTTTCTAATAAAACATATATAGAGATTAAAATATGAGATGAAAAGTATGGTCATTTCTTAGGTCAATAATCGTAGAAGTCGGATGTATAGATTTTCGATCGGAAAGTTTCGGAAAATGGTCGGAACTAACTTGGAAGCCAGAATCCAGTAGTTGGATTTTTCTAGTTTTCATCAGAACTGACTGCAACCGGTCAAAGCCAGGCACCAGATCTGATTGTTAGAATCCTGCTTACAAGGTTCTACTATCTTCCAGAGCTTTTCAGCCAGAAACGACCCGTATTTCTTAACCTGACTTATTATAGGTCATCCATTATCTATTATCAGCTGATCATACGGTTGTTCAGAAGATTTTGCGTCTATCTTTTTATACCATGTTCATTTTAATTATCTCAGATAAAAGATAGAAGTCAAATCGTCAAAATTACCATTTTGCTGAGCTTACTGAAGAAGAAGGAAAGCCTATATTGAAGAATGTAAAACGTATGTGTTATCTCGAGACATAGATCTCTATGACAAAGTTTGAAGAAATTTTTAGCGATTTTCCATTCTCTAGATCAAAGTACAAGTTTTGTTATATTAAAAAATATAGAAAATATAGAGGCCAAATGCATATGTGGTCGATGACACAAAATGCTCTATTCCACATTCCATTAAAAAGTGCAAAATCGTAAATAATTATAAAGCTTGCTTTTTTTTTTAAATACTTTCTTAGGTGATTATTTTGATTTAATCAGTACTTTAGTGTTTTCAATGAATACAATGGTGGATTTATAGCACAATTTAAAGAGTTATTGATCTCTATTTCCTGATACGCAAAATACAAGTTAATAATAAACTTGAATGTAAAGTCTGTCAATCATTTTATTTTATGCTGTATCTATAGCAAGAAAATTAGATTTAATTTATCGTTTATCAAAAGAATTTCTTCAAATAAAATAAGTTTGTTTGTCTTTAATTAAGTTTATTACTGAATAAATCTTTCTTTTATTCTCATATTTCAAAGAGAAGAAGATCTTATGATAAAAGTTTAATACACAATTCTAATCGATCGTTGCTTTTTCTCTTTTAATCCTCAAAGTGACAAATAAAAAACTTTTTTTTCTTCTTTTTTTTTTTTTAATATTAAAATTTCACACGTCTTCGTTAGTTATTCCAATTACGAGTAAGTAAGCAATACTTTTGTAGTTACTATTTTTTTCTCACTCTTCGCTTCTTTCCTTTTTTTTTCCGTCAACATTGGTAAACATTCAATTGAATATTCCAGTTCAATCACAATCGACATCAGTCATCGTCTATTCTTCTTTTTTGATAATAATAATGGGTAATACAACATCAGAAGTAGCTTCAGATGTGAAAGCTCAGATAAATTTAGGTGGTCAAAATCTAGAACTTTGTCAATTTGTGGCTTTGAAAGTAAATTTAATTGAAAAAAGAAAAATTTGTTTTTTTTGTTTTTTTTTGAAAATTTTCTTTAAACGGAGGTGGAGAATTCATTAATATGATACATGTAACAAATCGATGCACTTATTCGAAAACATATTCTAAGATTTCTTTATAATAATGATGAAGGAAAATTGGTAGAAAATGAAATCTTTTTGTTTTTGAAATTTGTTTTTTGCTTTTTGTTCGTTTCAGGTAACAATAAGTGAAATCGTCAAACAACGAAATAATACTTATACTTATAATAAATTAAAAAAGTATAGCTCCATCAACTAAAACACTTGATGAAGATAACATCAATGGTAAATGAAATGAAAAAAAAAAATAAACAAATATGTCATTTGGAAAATTTAGGTGAAGAAACTGAACGTGCTTGTTGGGATCTTGATTTATGAGGTGGTGTTGGACAACATATTCTTCATATTTGTTTTCTTTCATCAACTCCTGTTCATTCGACATTAGCTAAAAGACTTCTAAGACATTATTCAAGATTAATTGATCATATATATATGTATGGATAATGAATATTATGGTTAGTCGACTTTAGCTTTTTTCTTTTCAATATTTTATATTAAATTTTTAGATGAAAATGTTCTGCATATTGCAATTGTTAATAAAGAACTGGTTACAGTGAAATTTTTACTTGATGCACAGGTGTTAATTTTATACAAAGATGTTGTGGAAAATTTTTTTGTCCAGAAGATCAAAAATCGAGTCGATAAGAAGAGAAAAAAAAACAGTTTTGATGATTTTTTTCTTGGAATATCAATTTAGAATGAATAATATAACAAAAGAATGTCCAGATGTAAGTGTTACAACTAATTATGGAGGTTATTGTTATTTTGGTGAATATTCACTTTCATTTGCGGCTGTTTTACAACAAGAAAAATCAGTTAGATTATTAGTTGCTAAAGATGCTGATACAAATTGTCAAGATTAAAATGGAAATACACCTTGACATATGTGTGTGATGTGGTAATGATATATACAATGATTCGTAGTAATTTATTACATTTTTGTTTAATATTTCTTGTTTTTTATGTTTGATTTTATACAAGTATTGCATGTCTTATTTGGTCGAATTGATTGCGATAATGATTTTGCTACTGTTATTGAAACATTTTTTCATATGTTTTGTGTGATACTTCAACAAGTTACCGATGCTTATGAAAATCTTCATCGACATCGAATATTTGCTATTTAAATTATTGGAAAAGTAAATAGAGAGAGAGAGAAAGTTTCAATGTAGAATATGCAAAGTGTAACGCTTTAAAATTTGAATCAGATATATCTATTATGGCTGAGAATCCACCACTGCCGTGCCGCAGTCCTAGAAAAGAGAAGACTCCTACACCGCGATCCTAGTGAAAGAAGACTTCCGCGTCGTGCTTCTGAAAGACAGAAGGCTCTTCCGTCACAGTCCTAGAAGCGAGAAGGCTTCCGCACGCTGATCCTGGAAGAGAAAAAACTTCCATACAGTGGTTCTAGGAAAAAGAAAGCTTCTCCGTTGCGATCCTAGAAGAGAGAAGGCCTCCGAGCCACAGTCCTGGAAGAGAGAAGGCTCTTCCGCTGTGACTAAAATCTGAGCCTATCGTGTCGCTGCCACGACTCAGTGAACTATACAGAAAGTTGATGCTGTCGTGATTGTTTTCAAAAAGTCTTTCGGAAATTCTTGTCATCACTGTACTTGGCTACAGCTGTTAGTATATAAATCTATGAGATTATCCAGTCTCTGAATGTTACACTTATTAACATCCAAATTCTGAACAAATTCATGAAGTTTCCAATGTCTTATTAAAAGAAGTTGCCGCTACTATGATAGTATTTTTTAATCATCTTTCGCGTCATGCTAATTTCTAAAGAAAAATGCCACTGGCGTACCGCCATGGCCATCACTGTTTTGAACATATAAAAGTGTTTTAAAATCCAAAGATATGACCACGGATGGTACGACTGAGAGAGTATTCTCTTTCTGCTTTGGCAAGATCGACGACAACGTTCTTCGAATTTAGGAGAAAGTGCACTCAGATTTGAGAGAAAGTGATCTTGAACTCAAATTTTCCTCGATTTTGGAAGAAAATAATCTGAAATTTCCTTCGATTTTAAGAGAAAATAATCTCAAATTATCTGCAAATTTCGAAGAAAGTGACCAAATTCTAAGAAATATTTATCTTCTCCAATTTTTAGAAATTATACCTTGCTTTGGCTCCTTTACGCTGTCCCTGAATATGATCTAACTTTACTAGGAATTGTTAGTGTTTAACCCTTTGGGAAACGACTTTTTTTTTTCGAGAAGAGGTAAACTGTATTGTGGAAATTAGTTATAAATTAGAAATAATGCACCACATACTTGTGGCGCTAACTCTTCTTTCTATAAAATATGATAACGAACTCTCTGATGAAAAATGAAATAAAATATACAATGATTCTACTTCGAAATATCTAAAGCACTCGAATCTTCTGTTTGAGTTGTGAGACCGTATATATACGACTATCGTCTCTAAAGGTTTAAAAAGGTAACATTTCATAATAACTTCATCTTCTTCAATATTTGATAATACTTTAGATGTGATTTATTACTTATATTGTCACAGCTCCAGTACTTCTTGTTAATATGCTTATTGTTAATATGTTAAAAATATTTGTTTGTTTATTTTTTTCTTTCATTAATTAATGTTATTTAGTAATGGATAATACATATGCTATGATAAATGAATGAAAAAAAAGAATGACTTCGACAATAGGTAAAAATAATGTTAATTGTTGAACAATCAATTTTACGAAAAGAATATTTAGCACAACAATCAAATTATTCAAAAGAAATACCTGTTGATACATGAGTTTTAGTAACAAGATTAATACAAATAGTAAGAATTATTTGATTCGATTCTAAATTAAATTATTTTGATGAATATTTAGTCTGAAGAACGTACTGGTATTGAAACTAAATGTACATTTTATTATGAACAATGACGATGACATTTAGAATCAGATATGACATCCATACAATGAAAAGCAAAATCAATTGTTATTAATTCAGAACATGATTCTTCAGTTAATGAAGTTATAGGAGTTAAAAATAAACAAAATTCATTTCGAAATCAACGAATACATGATAGTTTCAATTCATTTAATACTACTATACCTATAAAAATGAATTGATTTTTATTTTAATCAAAAAGAATTCTATGATTTGTTTTCTTGATAATAAAAAAATAAAAAAATTCATAATGTTTATGTCTTTCTTTTCTTTATATATATATGTAGCAATTACTCAAAGAAGTATGTGACAAACAAGTTCAAGTAATCAACCTTTATTTCCGAGTGTTGATAGAGGATTCTTGAAATTTATATGCATTAAAAAAGAATATTCAATAGCATATCATTTCTCATTTGATACAAGTAATTATCATTGTTGTATTGTCTCAATCACAGGATACATTCACATTGAATCTCGCGCTAACAACAAGTATTTTAAGAAGAACAAAGTTAACTCTACCACAAAATATTTACTCTCTTTTTTTAAACTATAATGCTATTAATCGGAGTGATTTTTGATTTCATTACAGGAAAAATAAATTTAATAAAAATATTTTGGAATTTTTCAGTTTCAGAAAATACTTACATTTTTTGTTATTTAAAATTTGAAGTCGATTATTAAAAAGATTCATTGTCATTTTTTATGTCAATTATAAATGTTTGTCTTGATCAGCTAAAAAAATTATACGAATGTGAAAAAATTTTTGATAAGTAATGTAATGACTTATTCCTATTCGAAATGTTCTAATAGTATGAAAGAAGAAAAATGTCAATTGGAATAAGAGTAAAAAACATAAACGTCGCTTTAAATTAATGACAAGTTTAACTACTCATCATCTTGATTTATTTTCCAAAAACCTCGAAATTTTTACACAATCATATGCCAAATGCATTAGCTCTTATTTGTTATTCTATGATGGAGAAAACGCAGAGAAAATCATATTCAAATTATGATCGTTTAAAAGATAGAAAAACTTTAAATCAATGTTATAAATCTTCATAATCTGTTTATAATGAGAATTTTGTTAAAGAAATTTTTTGTATTCTTCTAAATCAAGAAAAATCATCGTTCTAATCAGTCTGGCCAATAGGCTACTTTTTTTTATGACCTGCAGATCAACTGATGTTTCGAATTTTTTTCAATCTACTAAACTTGATAATTATATATTAATATATCATTATTAGCTTCAGTTATTTACTTAATTTATTTCGATAAAGAATGTACAATAACAAGTGTTCTCATACTAAATAGTAAATTAAAACAAGAAAATAAATCATCATAAATATTTTTCATATAAGAAAAATAAAAAAATTATTATTTTTTATACATATGAATAAACATTTAATGAATTAAATATAAATATTAATCATGTTATTATTAGTCAATATCAACAGAAATTCTAAGTTTTTCAATAATAATGATCAATTTTTTTTGTTTCTTTTTGTTTTACAATAAAATCATTCTTTCATTACATTTGTTAGTTATTATTTAAATGTTCATTGTATTGCTTAGTTTACTTCATAATCATCATCATCAAATAATTATGTTGATCAATCAATTTCATCACATATAGTTTACACAAAATGATTATACATATATAACAAGATAATGTTAGCTGTAACGAATTACAATCAATAAAAAGAAGAGAAAAATATAAGGAATTTTAGTCTTCATGTCATTTTCTTTCTGTAATTCATGACAATAATTTTAATAAATTCTTCTCCATTAACAATAATTTCCATAATAAGTATTTGTAGATCAGAAACTTTTTTGATTTTATCTGATGTTAATTACACAAACTATTTATTTCTAAAATTAACGGATGATGCAAAAGTTCTGCATTAATTTTCTTTTCAGTATAGTGTGGCAACGAATCGTTATAGAAACTTGATCTTTTTCTCGTTGGATATTGGTAAGTGTTTAATAGAAAATTGGATAAAAAATATTTGATTGAAAATGTTTACTAAAAACTAAAAAGTCTTAAGAACATGTTGGACTGGATAAGTACCTTTCAACTTCTGGAATTCAAAAGAAGAAATTTCATCTACAAAGAAAGTTAATCTTTTCTTTCAGCTTTTATCAGGTTTTGTAGCACTATGATCGGATATTGTAAACGCACAAAAATAAGATTTTCAAATAATCGGTTGAGTTCGAAATTAACATTTTTCTAACATCTTTTGTTAGGGCAAATTTTTCACAACTAATGAATGACTTCGAAAAATAAGATTTCTTCCAACATTGAAGTTAGTAGAAACCACCGATTTTATATTCAATTAAAGCTAATTGACTCCTCTACAAAAGCAAATTATATAAAACAGAATTCAGTTTCTCTGTTAGACATTATGAGAAAACCTTCATTGGATATTGTAGACGAGTAATCAACTTTTTAATAAAACTGTTTCCTTTGAAGTCTGTAGTTTTGTAACTGGAATGATTTTGTATGATTAAAAAGTCCACTTTGCATCGGTCAGACTGACATATAATGTGCCTCCCAACATTGAAAGCCGAATACAAAAAACAAAAAAATTAAACAAATGCACTTCTAGTCTCTAGTTTTGAGTTAAGTTGAAAGGCACTTTTTTGAATCAAACTTATTCTTAAAGCTTTTTAATCTTTGGTAGCCATTTTGAATAAAATATTTTTACACATTTTTATAGTAGACATCTTGCTCTTTCTAACAAAATAAAGATTAAGTCTCTATGAAGATTTGTTGCCATGCTATACAGAAAAGAAGATTAATGCAAAACTTTTGCGTCACCTGTTATTTCAATTTTTTTTATTCTGAAGTGTATACACAGACAGATGGGATATTTTCATTTGTAACAATTTCCTATCTAGTATCTATTTTCAATTATTATTCTTTATTACTTTTATTTCTCTATTTCAATGCTTTAATTCTATATAAATCAATATACTTTTATTTATGTTTTATTTTAAATAACAAATTAACAATAATCAATCTATTTGTGTATTAGGAAAATAGTCTTTTATATATTCAGGAATTTGTTGTTGTTCACCAGAAAATTTGTCAGGATATCCAGCATATTGTATTCCTGTACGTAAATTTACATAATTAATTTTTGCACAATTATTTCTTGTTCTATTTCTTGTGAAATTGTGTGTCACTTTGTTCACTAATTCATACATCATACAAACACGAACACCAAATCCTAAATCCATTTTAGTATCAAATAAGAATTGGTCATAATAATCTATGCACGTATAAATAAGATCAAGTTTTTTAAGATAAGGATATTTAATAATTGATAAATCTTGATATTCATTCTTTGATTTTCTAAATTGTTTATTTATTTGTTGTTCATCATTACGTATAGTTAATTCTTCCATGAATGGAAACGATTCAGCAATTCGAAGGAAAAATTCATGTTCAAAAGGACGTTCATCATGTAATGACACTTCACGAACATTGATAAATATTCCACCTGGAAAATTATTTGTTATCTTATTATAATATTTTAGTTGATATGGATATGAATAAATATGAAAATAACCTTGTTTTTCTTTTGGAAAATAATCACTCCAATAGATAAATTGTTTATTGTTAAAGTTACTAAATGTCTTTTGAATATATTCATTTGATTGTAAATTAATTTCATTATAAAAATCACTTAATGAACAAATATTAAATGTAAATTTGTTTAATTGTGACATATAATTAATAATATTCATCTTCAAATCATTACCATCAAATAATGTTTTTCTTTTACCAACATTAATATACAAATCAAGCTTTTCTAAATTTGACATTCGTTGTAAAAGTGGTAAAACTAATTCATCATAAACAAATGTTCTCCTTTTACAGTGTAACCAAAAGTATTTTAAATTAGGTAGTTTTTTCTAGAAGAAAACAATATTATTAATTCATTTAAATAAGATATTAATTCAAAAAATAATTTACTATGTTGTTAACTCTTCTTCTATTCAAATGGCCAATGACACTGAGATCAACATAAAGTGTATGAAGTTGATTGAAATCTCCATCAAGTAAATAAAGACAATCAAAAAAACTATCCAAATAGACATGTAATTCTAACAAATTTGTAGAAATAACAGTTAAAGCTCTCAAACCAAAGGATAATCGTTCATCATAAATTGAAGATCGACCAAAATTTAAATATTGTAAATTAGGAAACATAGTAAAGATGCGATTAAATATAATTGCATTATTGTTTATTAGATAATCTTGTGTTCTATCTGTACTAATATCGATAGTAAATGATAAAAGTTGATTATTCAATTTACGAATTATTGAAGTTTCATCTAAACAATGAGAAGAGTAAAAAAATTCTTTTATATGAATGATTATATTTATGTATACTTTATTGATTTTTTTTTCTTTAGACTTATTTATTTATACTGTATCTTAAATGTTATATTAACTATCTATTTTATTCGATATTTTCTTTTTCAAAAATTTGTTTGAAACTTTAAATTAGAGATAATATCTACGTCTTTTATTTTGTATATAAGTACTTAAATTTCATGGAAAATTATCTCTTTGATGACAATCTTCTTTTCTTCATACTGACAAATACAAATCAAATGAAAAATCATTTTAAACTTAATCATATCTGTAATCATTTAATTGAGGAAATCAAAAATTTATCTATGAATTTATTTCATTTATAGATTTCATATGTCTATTATTGAAAGAATAAAAAATAAAAAATATCTTACTAGTAAAAAGATCTATAGCTTTTTTTTCTTGAATATTATGTAAACTAATTCCATATAAATTAGAATAATTTGTAACATTAAGAATACGTTCCATTGAAAGTGATTCAAGGTGAAGCCATTGAATTTTTTGATGAATTTTAGGTAAAATATGTGAATAAAATCGATCAAGTATTAGATCAGATAATGAATAAACTAAACCATCCGATGTTGACATCAAAAGAGACAAATCATTTGTAAAAATAGAATCATGTACAATTTTGTTTAATCGTTTATTGACACCTGATAAAGAATAAAGTATTTCTGCATTAGACAATTTTTTAAAAATATAAATAAGAATTTCATCTGGTAAATCATTCAATTGAATAGATGAATATTCCATGATTATCTATATCTATATCTATTTTACTCATCTCATAAATGTCAGTATATTTATATTGACATATTCAAATATTCTCCATCTGACCGATGTCTTTCATAGAAACAATGATACATTTTTCTATAATCTTAATTGACGATGAATCAATGAATAATCATTCGAGTAATATTTTCTTTTTTCTCTCTCTATTCTCTTGACTGAAGGGCCGATTATATATGAAAAAAAATAGATACATTTGTATGTAATCATCGATTGACCCAAATATAATGGAATTGATTTTTTTAAAGAGGGTGTGGATGTCGATGTACTAAGAAAGACTCCCATCCACAGCTACACCCCACCATAAGGATGCGTACTTAGTAGGTACCTGATGATCATTATACTTTTTAGATTTTATCGTACTTCTAATCTATGTTGATGGTCGAATTGTGTAGAAGTTCTTCTTATAAAAAAAAAGAGTATATGAACTCGAATTTTATCTACGAAAAAATCTTCTACTTGCACATGCGCTTCTAAGCATGTAAGTTTGATTAGGTTAAAAATAAAAAGCTGTTCATAAATATATTTTGATAGATATGAAATTAAAACAGAAATTTTCGGGAACGTCAATTTTTAGCGTCGTTCTCGTTCTCATGTTTCCGTTGTCGAATTCTTTACGAAAATTCCCATTCCCAATTTCCACGGCAAACGGGACGGGAAAACTCAGCAAAAACGTCGTTTCCGCAGGACACTAGTTGAAACATAGATTTTGCAAGTTTTTTTTTTTTTGTTTCGTAATGTACTGGCTGGTAATTATTTACAAGAATATAATCAGATGATAAGAGATTTAAATTTTATTCAAAATCAATAAAAAAGAAAAAGGAAGCGAAATATTTTATCGAAATCTACTATGAATATATTAATTATTCTACTATTTATTGTAGTGTTTGACCACGAAAAATGATCTTGTCTATATCTCAGCTCTTATTGACTCAAATCACTTGAAATTAATACTAAAAACTATCTATCAATCATGTTCTATTTATGCTGGTTTAGTTGGTGGTATATAAAGTTCATTAGTACATGATGGTGCAAGAGATGTTTTTTTAGATGAAGAAGAATTTGAAGGTGATTGATTAGAAATAGATGGAGATTTTGATTCGAGTATTCTTTATAAACAAAATCAAATGTTATATGAAAATACGTTGTGATCGATGTGTTACCTCGTAGTTGACTAGCTTCTGTTGATTTGATGATAGAAAATAATCATGATTCACATATCTTTTCAAGTATATATATACATGAGAGATATGAAAGAAAAGAGAAGAAAAAAAGAAACAGAAACAAGAGTGATCAAAGGTTGGATAATTCAGTCAAATTATAATTATTCGATGATTCTAGAGATTGACGATATCCAAGATACCAACTTATCTGATTGATAGACAGAGCCTATCGAGATCAAAATTGTTCAAAAGTATTTCCTTCACATTCTCAATCGAATTATCTAAGTCGGCAGAGTGTTTCGAAGATACGAGATATTTTTGTTACAATAATTTGTATTCGGCGATAATCATAATCTAGACATTTCTCAGAGAATCCTACTTGTAATTGAAGTCATAATTGGCTCTTATTCTTAGCTAAAGTCTATTTTTGACAACAGACTCGACGAGAGATTGCGGCATCGAGTTGTCTTTGGTTTGGTACTAGTCATTTTAGTTTTTTCGGACCTCATGTAGGACTCTTTCCAACTATAAAATTGCTTTTAATCTGAAAAGTAATGAACTTTTAGTTATCCATTATGTTGATTCCGAATATGATCATGCTAGACGCTGCTGTACTTTTCTAGAAACTCACCTTGATATAGGGAAAAACTGTTTTTGATCTCTCCGATATGTATAGAAAGATATTTTTGTTTTTTCCATTTCAGAACGATCACAGAGGCTATTACTATCGTAGTTTTCTCTTTCACCATGTGACTTCTATAAAAATTTGCATAGAAGTTACAGATAAAAAGAGAAAAGTACGATAATAGTAACTTTTGTGAATGTTCTGAAATGAAAAAAAGAATCTTTCTATACACAACTCGATGTGCTCTATATTCGGAAAAGATCAAAAACAGTTTTTGCTATATCAATTTGAATTTCCAGAAAAGCTTAGGAGCGACTAGCGTGAACGATATTCGGAATCAACATGAACTATAATCTATAGCTCAAAAGTGATTTAACAGTTGAAGAAACTTCTTCATCAATTCCACTTTAGAGAAAACTAATCCAAAATTTAGTTATATCATACCTAAAATAATTCCTTGATACTCATTTTTTCTTATGTATTGAGTTGACGATTAGCACTTATTCAGATCATCCTTCTTGAATTATGTTCTGATTCATATGATTTACAAGATAATTGAATTAGAATCATACAATATTGAATTCTAGTCTCGGTAATTTTCTCTATGTTCTCACCGAACATATCTATAATTATGATGTATTCTCTTTCTGTATGACAATAATAAATTGATTTATGATATATGAAAAAAAAGATCACTTAAAAATTGACAGAATTAAGAACATCATATTGCCAAGAATTCCAATTTCAGTCAGATATGACTTCATCTAGTTCCGAGACCTACTATCAGCACATATCGGAGAGACTGTAAATCGTGTAATGTTTATCTTTTCGAATAAGAGAAATTACTTCTAATTACCGTTAAAGAACATTAAGTATTTCAATAAAAACAACCATGGTGATGATCTGAGTTGTCGCAATCTCTAATTGAAGTAAATTAATTAATGATAATAAAATAGCTTCAATAGTTTCTTCTATTTGTTTCGAAATGAAAATCGATAAAGCTTGAATACAACAACCTAATAACATAGGAAAAATATCTTCTTTTTTTTCTGAAAATGTTTTTATTTTATTTGATAATGTTGATGTAATAAATTTTGTCATTAATATATCTCGTTATCTATATCCAATAAGTTTTTGATTAACAGCTAATGTTTCAAGTTCATAATGATGTTTAGCAAATCATTGTGTTGTTGCTTGTATAATTGATGACCAATTTGCTTTATAAATTGTTCGTGTTAAATCAAGATTTAATTCTCTTGAATAAAAATTTCTACCATGAGAATTTTCATCTGTTCCATCACTACTACCAAATTCATTTGGTAAAATTAAAAATGTCTAATCAGTTAATGCCGCAAACTAATAATATATAAGAACATTTAATTTTAGTTGAATAAGAATTAAAATAATTTACTATTTTGATTATTTATTTTTTCTTCATTTTGTTGTATTGTTCCCATATTATTAACATTAGCCTATGAACGAAGTACAACTAAATTTTCAATTGTTAATACATTTTTATTATAAAATCATTGATGTATAATTTTTATGTTGTTGAATCGAAGTAAATTTTTGTAATGATAATACTAATAATTGATATACATATCGAAGATCATTTAAATCATGTGCAACACCACTTGATATCTATGTACTACATCACATCAAATGCTTGTACTGTTACATATGATAATGTATCTTGTGAAAAAGCTAGTCGTAATGTCACACCAACTTGTGCTTGATATTGTTCATAGATAACATGATCTGATAAATCAATATCTTCTTCAACATGAGCAAATTTTAAAATAATTTGTTTCAATTATGATAAACCAAATAAATGTAATTGATTATTTGTTGATGTACATGACTTGAATGAAAATGTAATTAAAGTATTTAAATGTATAACAAGATAATCTTCATTTGGATATGTTCGAAGACGTTCTTTAGCAGCTATATAATCAAAATGAAGATTTGATGATAGTGTTTGTTCAAAAAAATTTATTAATTTTTTTACGCAATCAGCAGCAAATACTAGTGTTGACCATTTAGCTGATGATGTTGAACGATGAATTGAATTTTGATTAGTCGATGTCTGTAATTGTTCATCACCACCTCTATCAGTATAATCAACATCATCATCATCATGAAGATCAAAACTATCTTTATCATCATCGCCTGTAGGACGTGAACATAGTTTAAAATAAGATGATGATGATGATGATAAAGATGATGATAATAATATTGTAGTAGTTGCCATTGTAGAAGTTTGTTGTTGATCGGTTTCAGAAGATGGTCCTATACCAGATATTTCTAGATTATAGAAAATGTTATTATGTCTTATGAGGGGAACATTCCTATACCGTTTGATCGTATATTTTAAACATAAGCAGGACTTCGTAAGACTGAAAAGTGTTTGAACGGAGATCTGATTATCTTAAAAGTCGAAAAAATAGACTTTTCAATGTGTTTGTGTTCTGTAAATTTGAACATAAAGTTTCCATTTAATATTCAATTGTGATTTGTTTTTATTGGAAAAATTTGATTAATATCAAGAAACGTCCTTTCATTTCATGTTTTTAATGTCAATGTGTCTTATATTGGATCCCATTTTCGATAACTATCGTTCCTATTAACTCATTTTTTTCTGTTTCTGTATATGTGTACAAAATTGAGAATATCATATTGTTTTATATTTAATTATGGATTCGATTTAATACTTTAGCTTGGATTTGATCGATCCATTGAGTGAAAACGATTGAAGATCGTAGTCTTAAATGAAAATTCTGCTAAAAATTATAGATTATAACTATATAAAAGGACCGAAAAAGTTGAGAACATAGTTTATTTTTTCAACTCTTGTGATAATCAAATCTCCATTCACGGACCTGAATCATTTCAAGATTTTCTTAGTCCCATCGAGTCCTGGCTGTACCCAAAATATAGGACCAAATGGTGACCGATAGTCGGGAATGTTCCTTCGTTAGTAGGAAACAGATATAATCTAACATACATGTATGACATCAATCGTTTATTTTAAACTATGAAATATTTAGTATCGATGAGTATTAAACTTTCTTATAGTGATTAAATCCAACAACGAGATTCTATGAACGATAAGCCCATGATATTAGTACTTAATCTTAAAATCCAATCATTACAATGCGCATCGGCATTGACGGAAACAGTAAAAAAAAAAATTCCTGTCTTTCTTTAACAATATCTCAATTTTATTTTTCGAAGAGAAAAACAACACATATTCTCTGATTGAATAATTACCTATTGTAGCAATAAGAACATCTTTACATAATTGTAACCAATGTGTTAAATTACTAGTTCCTAATACTTGTAGCATATAAACAAGTGTATCTTGTATATGTGAACATAATTTCTCATCTGTTTCTGTATTAAGCATAGGAAAAAGTAATTCTAAATTCAATACACAATTATAAATATTTCAAAAAAGAAAAAATTTAAAAACCTTCAAGACTTCAAAATTCAGAAAGTCCCATTGATAAATCTTGTCCTGTATCTTTCATAAATAATTTCGTATGTTTACTAATTTCTTTCGTTTTTCGTTGTGATAATTGTCTTAAACATGAAACATATGCACGTCTTAATGATAAATCTTGACTTTTTAATGTTTTTATTAATTTTGATACTAATGTTGATAAATTAACATGACATGTATCAAATAAATGTAATTGTTGTAAAACTTGTATAACTTCAGCTTGAACAATTGGTTCAATATGTATTTGTAAAAGATTACTAGTTGTTAAACATGATGAACATAATATGGATATATAATTTGTATTTGTTTGAAGTTTAAGATTAATTGTTATAATTAAAGCATTAAGTAAATGTCCACAACATTGAAATATATCATATTGTGATAGTGAAATTGATAGAAGAAAATATAAAATCAATGCTAAACATGGTTCAATATATCAATGAAACATTTGTTCACTACAATGAGTAATTAATGCTAATGCATGTAATGCTCATACTTGTACAATTGTTGATGCTGATTGATCTTGTTCAAGTACAAGAAGCATTGATAGAGATAAATTTAAATATTATTTTATACTTATTCAACCAATATAATGATGTAAACATCCAAATGCTAATGAATAATCTGTACGAGATAAAACATCATGAAATGCTTTCAAACGATCAAAATATATTTCTGCTATATCAGCCACAAAATGTTCATCACAAATAACTTGTGTTAAACGACTAGGAGTTTCATCATAATAAAAAAAGAAAAAAGAAAAAGATATAACAAAAAAAAAAGAAAAAGATATAACAGAAAAAAAAAAGAAACTGTTTATAATCTATAATAGAAAACAAGAGATTAACTTTTATTATTTTATCTTAAAATAACTTACATTTAGTTAAATGATGATGGTTTATCCATGAAGTGCGTTAATTCCATAAGTAAATATTTTACATAAATAGCTGCTGGTGATGTTGTATGTTCTTTGATTAAATGACAGTAGTCAAGTATCTAGAGAGAAAAGAATAAATATTATTTCATCTTAGAAATGAATACATACGCCCCATGAAATACAATTATGAAAAAGTAAATGTGCAAAAAATTTTGCACGATTTTGTAATTGAGCATTTTCAAGACTGTGTACAATATCATATTGATCATGAAACACTTCTTCAAAATATTGTGTATATTCGTTTTCTGATTCACAAAGTTTTTGACCGAGTAAAAGAAAAAAACGTTCATATGATCGTTGTTGACCACAAAAATGAGCAATAGATTGACATAATTTTTTCTAAAATTTAAATTATTTAAAAACTAATTAAAGATTTCAAAAATATACTTTTTGTTCAGGACTTAAATCCATATCAACTAAATGATTTGCACATTCTCCAGCACTAATACCTGTCTCAATTGGTAAATATATTTTCTGAAGTAATTGTTGTGAACCACTTGATGAAGATTGTGATGGTGATTCAAGTGGAGCATTATTTTTATCGATAACAGCAGATGTTGTAACACTATGTTGTGTTGTTAATAATGAATTACCACTATCACCATCAATAATACTTGATCGATCAGAAATAGATTCATAATCCTTAGATTTTTCATGACGTTTTAATCGAGAAATATCTAAATAAAAATTATAAATAAATAAATAAATAAAATCTTTCGAAAAGAAAAAGATGTTATCTACTTTGTGGATAAATATTACGAAACAAATAATAACTCTTTTCATGAAAAGATGATTTATGAAACGGATGTCTAATATAACCCATTTTAAGCATCCTTGCGGCAAAGGCTCTTGCATCATCTCGACCAACAAAACCATCGACATTTTCAAATAAACAATTAACCAAGTCTGAACCTAAAATAATATTCAAAAAAATTAATTCTTTTTAAAAATAATTTTTGTTTTTCTTTCATACCAGGAAATGATTTTGGTAATATTCTATCACGTATATCTAAACCTGAAACAGGTTCAGCCATAGCTTGTACAATAATAGCCATATCAGAATTACCTGTTAAATTAAGATTAAGACCAAAACCTAAAATAATCACATAGAGAAAAATTCTTTTCCTTTACAAAATCAAACGACATACGTTCATTATCAACCATTGTATTAT